TCCAACCCAAACCATTCTATGGTTAGTCAGAAAATCCATACTTCTTTTTCTCCAAGAAAATCTAAGAATTATGAAGCACGTTATCTTTGGACAGCCAATAATCAAGTCTGCAAAGTGCTGAGGAAATTTAAAAACATATTTAATATACATACCTGGGGGATCAATGTTTTCATCTACAGGCATATCAGAGGTTGACAAAAGCTGGGGAACACAACAGAACTACATTAGTACCAAGGTACTGCTTTTCCCGCTACATACCTTTAACAAATTTTTCCCCTCAACCATGCTAAGCTTTTTATCTGAATAGTACCCGTTAAGTATTTTATATGGCGTTACAGAAGCCTGCAAATTTATCTATATATCAAAGTTAGTGCTGACCACTCCCATGAAGAGAAGTTTGGCTTATTCGTGCCAGAAGCATTATTTATAGAAATAATTCAGGCTGTCCATAAATGATTTCTGAAATAACAGCAACTGATCTGCATAGTTCACCAAAACTTAGTTAGAATTTCCCTCTCCTGACACAAAGGACCTCACTGCCTCATAACACTTCCCATAAGTACAGGTTAAACTCTACTAGTCCAAGTCCATTAGCCATGGTTCAGCACTGTTTTCCTTTTCATGCTCATGAAAAGCATTTATTGGTTGAGAAACCTAGCAGCAATATATGCAGAAATGAGGCAGAGGGATGGATCAACTCCCCAAAATAACACATCACTATTCAGCAAAGGAAAACCAACGTCACAGAACAGCAAAGTTTACCTGTTCAAGAAGATGGGGGAACCTGGCCTGAATTTGACTTACAAACTCTCCTCCTTTTACACGAAGCAGATACTCACACCTGAAACAGGGAGAAAAGTGTACTAAATTATACTTTCTACTTGCTGTATGAAAAAAAGAAAACCCACCACCACCAAAGCACAGGAGAATAACACAGCATAACTTAAATACAGGTTTCCTTCAGAAGGGAAAGGGTTTCCTTAATTGGAAGCTGGATATAGCCTAGTGTCTGGTGACACTTGGATAAGTGTTTCCCATGATGTTCATCAGTGAGTAAGCTTACATATATAAATGCAGCAGCTTTACATTTTACTAACACTTTGATTAAAAGTGGCATGTCACGAGAAATGATACGGTGTCAGCATCGCTACAAAGTGTGATGATAAACCGTTTCTATCTAACATCTCACTATTCTTATCTCCTACTCAAATCATCAAAAGTTGTTAACCCCTACCAAAGCCAGATCCACGGTGCTAACACAGAGCTCCCTCTCAAGTACACTGACTGACAGGCATAACAGAAGGCAACAAAGGTGTCATTTAACTCTACATACACTGTGTAGTCCAACTGAAGCTGGCAAATTGCTCAGGAAAGACTAGTTGGAGATCTGTGATGTGGAGAATTAGTATTTGCTTTCCTGAAATTAAGTGCAGCTCTTTGTCATTAATGTAGGTGGAGATTTCCACAGGCACAGATAGCAATCAGATATGCAACTGCCATTTCATTATGGGGGACATTAAAAAGTTACTTGTCATTTTTCCAACAGAGACATATTAAACAGCTGCTGAAACCTTCTTCATGAGCCTTTCCACACCTAAGAAGCTAAACCACAGGATCTGAAAAACTGGTTCAAGAGCTTTCAGCATGGACACAGAACTAGACTGAGGGAGTTAGATGTTCCTTCTACTTCACTTCTCAGCAGCTTCTGCTCTCCACAGCCTGCTTCCCTTAGAGAAGTATGCTCGTTATCAATACGGCCTCACTTGCTAATAGTGATCTGGAGATGCACACAGCTTTTAATTATGAAGACAGTATTAAATGTCATGCTTAATGAAATGTTTTAAATAAGGCCACCTTAGCACTTGAGAGCCTTTAAGCAGAGCTACATGAAACACATTCAAATGAAAGAGTGAACTTGTAAATCATATGGTGAAGTTAAACAAAACTATGCAGTGCAGTACAGATCTATCAAAATTAGAAGTATATCAGAATGAAAAAATTCTGATAAAGGTTTTGCAAGTTACCTTGGAAACCACTTTGCATGCTCAATCCATGGATCATCTCCAGATTCCCAGCACCTTAACCCACCATCACAGCAAAAACACTTGACATCATCATTGCGACCTTTAAAATAAACAAGGCAAAATATCCAGCAATATTCACACAATTTACTCTGAAGTAAATGCTGACATAGCAACATGAATAAAAACAGATACATCAGTTTCTTACCTACATAGTAAAAGCCAGCATCCGCAAGCTGTTCAGGCTGAACTGGAATTCTAGTTGGCCAGTTGATGAATGTTTTAACCCGTGCTTCATGGGTCTGCATGCTCACATTTGAAACATTGAAACTTGGCTGCTCTCGGGTAAGGTTTTCCACAAAAGGGCAGTTAGGAAAGTGTCTCCGATGCTCTGCAATAGCATTATCTTTTGGTTCCCAGTTACTCAGATGACCACCACAGGTGAAACAAACAACTCTGTCTGCTGTCCCCAGGTAATAAAGTCCAGCCTTTGCCAGATCAGTTGGTGAGAGAAACGTCAGTGGCCACGAGCGAAAAGTGAGTAGTCTAGCATCTTCTGTACTCATAGAAGGATTGTGAAGCTTAGGTCTCAAGAACGAAAGGTCTTCAACTGCCCTACTAGTTATTGGGTCTTGAGGAAAACTGGAAAAAGAGCCACTGAAATATCCAACTTGTTCTGAACTTGGAGAAACTGGGATGGAATGCAGAGATGGTGAGAGACAGTTTGGGCCCATATGTGAAAAGGCAGAATGAGAGGACAGGTCGAGGTTGTTAACTGAAAGCATGTTTTGAACAAAACTGCAGCTGGGACACCGCTGTTTATGTTTCTCCATAGCATTATCTCCTGGTTGCCAGCTGTCCAGTGTTAAGCCACAATTGAAGCACTTAACTTTATCTTGCACACCAGTGTAATAAAACCCAGCCCGGGCCAAACTCCGTTCTGACACTGGCACATTAGTGGGGAAAGTAGAAAACGTAGACATTCTGTAGAGTTCACAGGACAAGTCATACTTCAGTTCACCACACACATCACTCTGCTTCATGATGCTAGCCAAGAAAGGGCTATCCATTATGTTCATAATGGACGATTGTTGGAAGAATGGGACAAGTCTTCCTCTGGGAGGTAGTTATGTGCATTCAAGGCAATTTAAAATAACCCCTGTCTGTACAAAAGAACCTGAATGTGAAATACTTGAATGTGCAACTTTAAATGCATACATGAATACAATCAGCCTCATGATTAACAGCCTTCAAATGTTTGGGAAGTTCTTGTACTTCAGTTTACACAACTTCTTTAAGTGTAAAAGCTGCCCCTTCCCATTTCAGTAACTGAAGAAAGCACGTCAAAAAGGACTTCCCCTAGAGTTGCAGGCATCACATGCTGTCCTTGTACTGAGAGCGCAGTATCAATTTGTCAGGCTAGTGGAAGTGGGATCCAGAAGGGGGGAAAAAACCTCACATGGGTTTATCTAAATCCTCTGTCAATAAAGAAACTAAAATGAGGGGCAGTTAAAATGACACCGTTTTAAACCAGAATATGTTACGTGATTTAAGAACTATTTCACCCTAGGCAGCTGGTAAAGATGCAGCTTATACACATGTAAAGATTTTAGTTTGTAAGCCTCATTAAGTGAATGAAAATAAATGTTTGTCAAGCTCAAAAAGCATACAAAAAACAGCCCCTGAGCTGACACGACTGAACTAATCTGGTATACTTGCTACTGCTGGACTTCCAAAAAAAAATCCTCTATTTCTGCATATTGTTGTAATAATCGTTAAGACTAGAGAGATCAGTTTATACTCAGCTTCCAATAGACTGAATATTCAGCTACGAGATAAACAAATCCTATACACTGTCTCTGACAAGGATGAACAGTCTCAATTAACAGCTTGGGACAGCCCCAGGTTTTTCTGTCTACAACACTGTCAGCACAGACTGAACAGAGCATTTCAGTTTTAACCTGGTGCCTTAGTTACAAGTATAGAGTTATCAAATTTAACATAAATTAATTGCCTTGTGTTGGGACATTCTAATGCTTTATACTGTTGGATTAAGTTTCTGTGTGCCATGTTTATACATACAGAAGCGAACAGAATCCTCAGATTAAAATAAAGAATTTGAAGGCTTAGTTTCTTTATTTGTGCACAGAACTACCTCCCAGAGTTCAGACTGAAGTCCCTTCTAAGGTGCCTACGTCTCCATGTTGATACTGACTGTTCACAAGAAGAAACTGTAACTATCTATAGTCTCAATCATTTAATTCTTTTGGGTGGAATAACACCTGTAAGGAAGAGAGAGAGGAGTGTTTCAGTATGTACAGAGTGAGGTGCATGTAACATCTATACAAACAGAAGCTACACAAATTCAAACGTTAAAATCTCAACGTAAGCTTTTTTGTTCTATTAACTAGAAAGTCAACTTTACATGCCAACATACGGAGTGGATTTTACACAACTTCCCTGTTACTGACACATATACAAAACTATTTAATCCACAAGCAGACCTTTCTGGCAGATGGATGAATTGGGTTTCCTGATCGCAATCTATGTAACTAAAGGTAAGACCCTGTACTAAAGCTGCATCCATCAAAATTGGTTTAAGCCTGCAGATTCTCAAACAACGAAGATCCAACTTTCTAACACTGACTTAAGAGTACTGGAATCTCTTATTTAGATAAATCAAATGATACTTGAAGCATAGCACATCTGCAAAACTGAACTTCACCAAAAATTTAACATAAGAGCAAAGACAACGTTCAAAAGTTCTTAGAGATATAATTTTGTGTTTACTTATATATATATAAGTATATATGTAAGTATAAATATATAAGTATATCTATATATATGTGTGTGTATATATATATATCAGTCTGCTTTACAGTATCAGTTCCTAAAGTTTTTTTCCAGGAAAGACAAAACTGATATACTCGTCATGATGACGCAGCTCTAGCAAAACCATCTACTGGAAAACAGCAAAGCATTTCCTACTCAACTCAATAGCTATCAATAGATTTGTTCTTAATACGGTCACACTACTGGCATCTTCATCGCTGAGGACGTGAGTTACAAAGGCCTTGCACCAACCCACTCCTTTAACGCAGGCAGTGGGACTAAGCTGTCAACATACACGAACGCCGGTCCGAGAAGTTAAACCAGTTTCGGCACCGGAAAAAGTCGCGTGCCTCACAGTAAA